ACCCACTTCTTCGGATGCATCCGAAGAAGTGGGTTGTAGCCCACGAAAGCTTATGCTCTAATAAATTTGTTAGTCTCTAAGGTGCCACTAGTACTCTTGTTCTTTTTTTGGATAGAGAGTCACTTCTGTTGGGACCCTTCTTTTTAAGCTTACCTTGAGGACTGACTTCACTTCTGGGCTGGAGACTCACCCTGTTATTAGGGAGACACTGCAAAAGCTTCCTTGTTGGTTTGTATAGAGAAAGTTACTTGAGCTTGTTAAAAATATGAATTAGTAGAACAGCAATTTCTGAGTTTTGAGCCTAATGTCTATGGTAGCTGATTAAGGGGGCTTGGTTTAGGTCAAAGGGATCCGTGTAAGTGGAGATAGGCTTGAAGTGAAACCTTGGATCCCAAATCTTCCTAACTTTGTATATAGGTGTGGTGAAGGATAGCGGATGAGGCTGGGGTGGTAATTTGGATCCAAGTGTTAATGATCTGATGTATCTCTACTTACCTTATCCAGGCAAATCACCTGGGAATTCAACCATTTGGGGTAATTATTTGTAGCCATTTAAGGAGTTATTAGAAAACCTAATTATTAAGCCACTTGTTTATATTGTGATTGCACTGTGTTGTGGATCATTTATGTAATGGGTTTATTTGTTGTTTACTCCTCTTTATTACTGAGAAAACTTGTAAATAGTAAAGGCACCTTGTAGTAGATATTATGTGTTTCACAGTTTTTTGTAGGGCTACCCAATGCAGCTCAATATGTAATTGTTAAGGTCAGAGAAATAAAACAGCTGGGACCTAGGGAAATTAGAAACTTAGAAAAGCCACAAGTAATCAACTGAAAGAAGAAATCCAGGAAGCAGTAATATTGGAGGAGAAGTAGGGGTGACAGTGGCCAGCGAATTAGGTCTGAGTTCAGGCTATATGGAGGAATGGTTCTATGTATTCATAGATTCTGAGGCCAGAAGGGACCATTGTAATCATCAAGTCCACCCTCCTGTATACCACATGCCATAGAGCGTCCCCAAAATAATTCCTAGAGCATGTCTTTAGAAAAATATCCAGTTCAGATTTAAAAATTGCTATGATGGAGAATCCACTAAAAGTTAGTAAATTGTTCCAATGGTTAATTACTCTCACTGCTAAAAATTTATACCTTACTTCCGGTCTGAATTTGTCTGGTTTCAACTTCCAGCCATTGGATCGTGTCATACCTTTCTTTGCTAGATTGAAGAGCCCATCACCTGCTCTATTAAACTAGAGAGATAGGCTCAAGGAATTCTATCCCTGTAAGGCATGTATTCAAATCCTTTAATCACTCTTTTGGCACTGAACCCTCTCCAATTTATCAACATCCTAAACGCTAAATAGCATAGGATCAAGCCATCATCTCTATAACGCCTCTCTTAAGATAGAGTGGAGCTCAAGTACTATTCCAGATTACATTCCAGACATACACTTAGGAGTTTAAACTTCTTTAGTGACACATTCGAGATACTTTCTCTCCCAATGTATTTGCAATTTTTCGGTTAAGTAACCTTGATTTATCTCAAGAAACTGTCAGTATAAAATTTTGTGACCATAAACTGAAGAGTTTAATTCCTCCCACCCAGGAAAAAAAAATATTACACGAGATCCCATATCGTTAATACTCTATGGGCCAAAGGGTATAATGCTATTGACCTTATTCAGGGTCTGAATTTGGCCCTCTGCTTATATGTGTTTAAAATTTGTAATTGAATACGATTATTTGAAAAGTCAGTTCTGCCTTTACTTTCCTGCAAAATCCTCAGTTTAGGCTTCTGTGTGTAAGCTGTAACAGCTGCTGATACAGCAGCCACCTAAAACAGTGCAGGCAAATATTAAGAACTGTTGAGGGGAAATGCAGCCAAATTCTTCCCTGGTGTAAGTCCTTGGAAGTCAAGATTTGGCAGGTAAGTGAAGGAAGAAAATGAGTTGGAAATGCTGCATTTAGTTGTAAACTATGGAGCTATCTGTACATTTTAAGTTACCAATATGTTTGGGATCCTAAATAGCATTTTATATCTTTAAAAACCAACAATGCACTCTTCACCATTCATAAACATTTTGTTGTTAACAGAGAAAAAATATTTAAAAATCCTTCAGACATGTAAAGATGTCTAAATATGTCATTATTGTATCAATGATAAGGAGCAGCAGTTAATTCTCAGGAGCTAGATTGTTCCCTGGTCTAACATGGTAATGCAGGAGAGTAGCAGAGAGTCAGGTTCTCCCAATCCTGCAGGGCTGCAGTAACACCTTCTAAATCACAGCTCCAGGCATGTGGAAAGCAGGGGCTGAGGCCCTGTATGCTGCCCCTCCATCTCAGGAGCTGGTGGACTGGGAGGGAACAAAACCAGAGCTCTGCCCAACCTACATGCCAATCAACAGAGCTGGCCGGCTGTGTGCAGGGAGTATGCTGCCCTTGAAAAGGGTTTTCACAAAGGACTTGCCTCCCTGCCCAAGTGCAACTAAGGAGTGGATTTGTAGTTATCTGAGGCATGAACCCTCCTGAGTGGAGCAGCTAGACACATTGCAGCCAAAGTGATCAGATACATGGTCAGGCTAGGTTTCAGCAAGTGAAAACAGCAAAGTCACCAAAATTGAAAATGCTGAAAGTTTTATTAATCATGTAAGAACAAAATGAACAGGAAAAGATTACATGTTAACCCCATACAAAACCTTAAATCCATAGACAGTGACTCCCCCAATAAAATTATTTCTCTACTCACAAATAAATAGCAAAGGACAGTGCAACGTAACTATAAAATTCAGTTTTCTACGTAAAACATTAGCTCACCATCACCATTCTTTTTGTTTTAAAGAGTCATCCTACTACTTCTTGCTAAAACATTAATGTTGTAAACGGTTGACTGGAATAATTGCGAATTCCCATGATGTAAACGGGATATTTGTCAGGGGTCTTCAGTTGTTTTTAGATATACACGTGCACACAAATAACCATTGAAACAATGAGAATACTAAAAAAAGAAATAGATGAAAAGAATAGAACTAAATAGTCTCCAAACTTCACAGGGGAAATGGTAAAGGAAAGTAATTTTGGGATTAACTCACGACTCCAACAATGCAAGTTATAATTTTGTTTATCCTTTCCCCCTCAAAAGTTGTATTATTTAGAAATAAAAATACATATGAAGACTTAGTTATTTGGCTCCTGAATATTCTCATATTTAAGAAGTGAAAAATGGTGATAGTGGAAGCTGAAATAAGTAAGAAACAGAGTTTTAAGCCGGTGCACAGGTTATTTTATCTATGTTGCTTTTGATTTTAACTGCTTTAGACCTCTTGGGTTCTTTTTTCCTATGATCATCTTGTTTTTTTCTGCTCTTCTTCCTTTTGGAACTGTTGTGTGGTTGTGGTTTCTGGAATGCACTCAGTCATGCATTGGCACTCTTCCACATAGACATAGTCATAATTCATGCTTGTTCCATTGCTGCATGTCAGCGTCACCTCTCTCTTGTGGCTCTTGAGTTCCTGGCAGCAGGTACACTTGTGTTGCATCTGCTGTGTTTCAAAGGAATACCTGCCCCACCAGATAAAGAAAAGAAATTATACCCCTCTGTAAAAGTCTTCATATAGCACACACTCTGCTAACTATTGCACACTTTAAAAAAACGTATCTATTTGATAGAGGGCCTGTTCCTGCGCCCACTGTGCTCTGTGGCAAATCTGCCTTTCATTTTAATAGAAGCAAGATTGGGCCCATTATTTCCAGCTTTCAATCGTGTGTGTGTGTGTGTGTGTGTAGCTCAATATAAACAGGAAAGATCAAATTTTGTGGTATTAGTCTGAGTTTTCTAGTCTCTCCACTGGCTTTCATCATCATTTAATGGCAGTTAGTTCTGAGCATGTATGAGTCAGAGAGAGAAATCAAGGTGGTCTAAAGAACAACTGATAGGAAGGATGGGCCAATTTATATATGATGTACTCTATTTGCCAAATAGCCGTAATGGCTTATTTATGAATGCAGGATCTGATTCTCTTTAGCCACAGCAATATATCAGGTGTGACTCTACTGATGGCAATGAATGTAAGTCAGAGGAAAATCAGAACCCCAGTGTGCATCTTCCTCACTGTTGTTCCAATGGGTGCTTTGCTGTCAGATACTCAATACTCTGCTTTGTGACTTGAACAAGGTTTTTACCTCTGTGAGTCTGGTTGTTTGACATTGGGACCGTCATGTTATATTGTGTGTCAGGCAAAGTGATGGGAGATAACTGCTGTGGTATAGAGTAAGCACTCTCCCGCTCCCCCAAATACTGACACACACTTCAGATGTACAAGCCATCACACTCAATGGAAACCCTTGCTTTTCAAGTGTATATTAAATTAATTGAAAGTGCATAGGTGAGTCCATGCTCAATACCACTTGAGCAGTTGGATGAAAAGAGGCCACAAAGAGAAATAGATACAAGGAGAGGATATAATGTACTTGCTGCCACTTACACTGAGGAGCTGGCACAAACACCCTCACAGTACGTCAGTTCAATAGGCTCAGAAGATTCACATTCATTGTGGCGGATCACAGTTGAGTTCTTGTAAACTTTGCATCTTGTTACTAAGAAAGAGGAAAAAATAAATAGAAATGCTTCATGTCTCTTCATATTCACAGCTAAGCGAATGCTTAAAGCTGTTCTGAGAGGAAGATGTTTGATTATGCAGGATTCGTGCTATAGGTAGGAAACACACAAGTAATTTAGTTGGGGATTTGAGTTTAAGTCCCAGTCTTAATCTTTCAACCTTAGGTCATTGGTAGCAGAGAGCACTGCTGAGGCAGTATAAACAGATCTTGGATGAGATGGGGAGTATCTTGACACTGTCAAACAACCATGTTTGCTCTTTTTCTTTGGAAGGACCAGTCAGTGTAACGTGGGGCCCTTGACAATGAGAACTAAAGAAAACCTGTGTGGGGATCCTGGAGGAAACTTCTACTTCCCCATCCCACGCAAAAAAAGTTAGAAATATTATAATTATACAGAATCTATTGGCAGCAGAACATCAGAAAATAGCTTTACTTACATCCAGAGGTACAGGTTTTGCAGCAGCCATCAGGAGTCAGCTGTACTTCATTCTTCAGTGCAGGAACAAAGAGAGAGCATTCAGAATTAGTGTATGAATGACAAGTCAAGAGCTTTCTAGCACTGACTAGCATTTTTACCATTAACAGGAGGTGGGCTGTGCAGTGGATATTGAATGAAACCATGGCTTGTGGACCAGGAAGGCTATCTTGCCAGCTTGGTTCCATGTAGTTCTTGAATCCACATATCCAAAAATAAGAGGTAGCAGACTATTAAGTGGGAGGACAGGGCTGTTCTGGAGGGATTGTCCATTACAATTGACACTGTGACAAGATTAAGTTCACTCTCAAACCATTCCTGATAAATGGCTGTTTACACAGTGGGAGCCATTAATAACTAGAGATACTGGTTCCATGTTGTCTTGTCTTGTCTTGTATCCTTTGCCCCTTGTTCTGTGTAGTAGCACTCAACAAATAGCAAACAATAAAGGACTGATTGAAACTTACAGGCTTGCAGTCCTCTGGATCAAAGGCAGGACATGTTCTCAGAACAGTGACTGAAACAAGCTGATCTTCAATTTTTTCACATTTGTAATAGCTGCATGGATTATCTTCAGGCTTCCAGATATCACCCGGCTGACATTGGGAATAAAACAAATTTAGCATTATTGCTTTTCTGATGTGATCAATGATGTAATTATGATAAGTGTAGTGTGATTACTCTGACAAAGCCTGGTGTAGGATTTTCTGATGAGCAATTTCATGCTCTCACCTAGAAGGAACTCATCTGTACCCTTTTAACTTCCTCTGAAACACTAAACACGGGGAGCCTAATTTTCAAACTTCACTGCCTAGGTGGGGAGCCTAAGGCTAAATCCTAGACCTACACTCTCAGGTCTGTAGTTAGATGCCTAAAATGGATATTCCCTCCCCCACCACCCCCCAGTCCATTTGAGCACCTAAATATGTGATTTAGCTATTCAAATGTGTGTCCAGCTAGAATAAATATAGAAAATACCCTGCTGTAACTAAAGTTGGTTGAGAGCTGTCCCTTGCTTTTGTCAACACTTATCCCTTGTTGTGGGCTAAAACCAAGTATAATGAGAATCAAAGGAAATAGTTACCTTGAGCACCTGGACAGTGTTGTTAGTCAGCTTGATTGTGCAAGCCACCTGGACACACTCTCCGCAGCACTCTCCATCTTTCATCATGTATTCATAACCCTGTTCAAGAAGTGGGAGAGAAAATACATTGAGTCAATAAGGGAGACTTCCATTTTCACCAGTTTAGAAACTAACGGGGAGGTGAAATAAAAAATGGAGCTCACCAGGGGGCAAGTGGTGTCACAGCGGACCACCTCACATTGCAGAAGGTTTCTGTTGGAGACTGGATCTACTTCAGAACTGCAGATACACGTCTTACAAGAGTCCATTGGAACAGACATTCCAGGCTGGGAGAAGCCAAAGAGAGAACATTCAGTCTGAGAAAATCTCATTATTTTAAGGAGATCTACTGTATGTTACCTCATAACGTATGGAGATAATTTAAAGCAATTTTGTGAACATAAAAGATGCTGATACACAAGTGAAATTGAGTTACCCAATGGACAGCATAAAGCAACTATGTTGCACATAATATATGAAAATGTGGGGCCAGTGCAAAAAGCATGTATAGGAACAAGCTAATTGAAATTATGCAAAATACTTAGGCTAGTAAAGAGATGGCAAGAATGTACCAAGCAAGATCAAAAGAACATGCTGAGTTTGGGTACTACGTAAGACTGGTTTGAGCCGCCTCAGTATTTTGCAAACTCATCAATACACCACTTGTCGCAAAAGAAGCTTTCCATTATGAATTGTTTTCAGAGCTGGTGAAGCAGTCATCTCTTGCAGATGGATATTAAAACATCTACCCATTGGTGTATCCAATTGCATGAGCATGAATATGTACACATTCTTTACACATGGACTTCAGGCCTCTTTTGAAAATTTGACCCAAAATCACATTCCAAGATGGCAGCTGTGATCTTAAGGAGAAAATCTTGACTGAGAAGTTAAGGTCTCAACTTGGAGGTCTAGGCCAAAGTCCTAGATTTATTTTTTGAGGGGCTTCAGTTCTTTTGCCCCACAAAAAAAGACTTTCAAAATTCTGCTCCATCAGAAAGTTATATTGCCCACATCTGGAATGGATAAAGAACCGATTCACCCCTCTCAGTAAAAACGGTTAAGTTTTTACTTTTGCTCCTTGTTAAAGGGGAGCTCCTCCAAACAAAATCTATTTCAGATCTAGGCTGGTGACCAAGGAGCAAACATGGTACAAAGGTTCTTTAATATGTAGGAGATAAAGAACTCCCTCATGGAAACTCCTAGTGAGATGCTCTGTATCAGGGTTTTAGAGAGCTACTGAAATATCAGTATATGTTAGTATGTTTGGTGTAGTACTACTGTTCTTACCTGGTAAATAGTTCCATTAAGCACACAGACATCTGGTATTGGTTCTGAAAAAAAGAATCAATTATTTAAAAAAAAAAAAGAAATGAAAAAAAAATCTTTAAAACTGCCAGTCTGAATGCACAAAAAAGTTCAGTTTTTCCCCTGGATATAGTTCAGTGAAGGTAAGTGGGGTTTTTTAATGATTATTTAATGTACACTGACCTTACTTTCTTCACTTCTCATACATTTTTTCTTAACTCCATATCTCCTTTGAAATTGAAATTAGAGCCAGAGGTCAGAAGAAGCACAGTAACTTACCACATGTATAATTGACACAGCAGCCTCCTTCTGAAAGGATTGTGGCTAGCTGATACCCTGGCTCACAAGTCTTCTTGGTCTGGGAGCAGGCGCTTGTATTGCATCCTGTGGAATAAGCCAGAAGAGAAAGTGCGTAATGGGATAAAGCTAGCAATATGAGTCGTTGTTTTCCTGCTTAGAAGTAATTGGTGCTTCGGCTCCGTGAGCATGTGGAGAGCCTAACACAAAGAAGGGCACAGAACATAAGAACAGCTATACTGGGTCAGACCAAAGGTCCATCTAGCCCAGTATCCTGTCTTCCTACAGTGACCAATGCCAGAGGCCCCAGAGGGAATGAACAGAACAGGTAATCATCAAGTGATCCATCCCGTCACCCATTCCCAGCTTCTGGCACAGAAAGATTATTGATAACTTCTTTTAAAAACTTGATGTGCATAAAGCTCGAGTTACATTCTAGCATATGGCTGAAGCTTGAAGAAGCTGGAGGGATGTATCCCTAAAGGGAGAGAGAAGATTTAAGAGGATAAATGGCCTTGAACTAGAATGGGAGCCTGAGAAAGCCCTCTCTTTCCCTACTGCTATCAAGCTCCTCCTCAAGTTAGAGCAAATCATCTCTTACTCTATAACCACAGCAGTGTGATAAATTCAAAAGACACCTCTGTTCCATGGCTGAGTCCTCTGCAACCTGTCTGCAAGTGGCTTGGATGGACGACTGATCCTCATAGGAAATAAATATGCCACACCATCATAATCAAATCATTTGGTAGCATCTCACATCCCACTCATGTTTTTCACAGGACCACTTCAAGCTTAGCCCTCGACTGCTCATTTGTTTAGTTCCAGGCTAATAAACTGTGGGCACATTCTCCCTTTTGACTTCACTATATCAGTAATAAAAAAAAATCTCTAAACAGCTAGCACTATATCACATACAGCTACTGGCTCGTGTTTTAGTGTTTGTTCATCTGTTTAGCTCTACTTAAATTAATATTGCCATTCTGCGACATAAAATCTGTGTATAAAGAAACACTCTATAACCCACAACTATGGAGCTAATTTATCAGCTACTTTAAGACTCAGAAAAACCTTTTACCTCTCTTCTCCCCTTCTGCAACATACACACACCAAAAAGATTTTGTTTTACCAACTAAAAATGTACATCTAACTAACTCAGAAATCAACTTTTGGTACCTAGGTACAGTTATGAATCAATCAAGGAATAATGCTTAATTGTAAGAGCCCTTAGATATTACAGTGATAGTTACTATATGAAAACCTTAACTAGATTAGATTAGCTAGTGAGAGATGTGCAGCTGTAACTGAGGACAATATTTGGCCCACTATATTTTTATGAGCTGGCTATAAAAGATAGTAGCCGGTACTTACTGCATTCAGTTTCAGGACAGCATGGGTCTTCTGGTGTGAACACTGGGACAGCTATGAATCCTTCTTTCTCACACACGGGTGTCTCGGGTGTCTGACATGACAGTGACTTACATTGTACAGTAACAGAGAATGGGTCACAGACACACTCCTGGCAGTTACTCTTCCAAATGGCTCCAGGCTGTAAAAATATAAAAATATTTTATCTTACCTGTTCTCTGATGCTCATGATCATAGGTATTTTTTCAGGGTCAACCTGGATGAAGGCCTCAAAGCGGATAGTAAGATAGAGTGTTCATGGAGCCTGATCCCAAGCCCATTGATTTCAATGGGTTTGAATCTGGCCCAAAGAGCAGGCCGAAAATCTTCAGACAGGCTGCTTTCAATTTCCCAAGTTAGGAGACCCATAAATAAATAACATTTCCAATACTTGGCAATGGAATGATACAACACTGGAATTGAAGTACTAGCAATTTATCTGAAGCAATATAGACACACCATTGTGCAATTTGAAGCTGTTACACACAATTCATATTAGTTCTTTTTGGGCATTTTGGGGTTTTAAAATGTGATTTTTAAAAAAAAAACTGGGTGCAGTTGATGACAAAATACAAAGTGTATTGGCTGTAATCTAGTCCTTACCATCATCTCCTTCCATTTTATTTCTGCTAAGAATTTAACCTGCCACAACCTTGCACATTTCATAACAAAGTGAGGACTAAGAGGTGGGAAAATGCAATGAAATCCTGGAAACAGCTGTATTTGGGAGATGTTTCTGGGAAAGGTGCCTTGGAGAAAGTGCTGACTGAAATACTCACCAGTTTGGGCATTCCATCTGGTCCCACACAAGCTGAGGGGAATGAAAGGATAAAGATTTACATTGATGCTGATCTGATGACCCATGTGATACACAAATGAATCTCGCTTACCCGTTTAATTAAGGGTTCATAAAGGCACTTTTCAGATATTATTATTGCTACACACTTTATCCACAAAGGATTTACTTTTAAACCTTCATCTTGTCTCATGATTCAGCTCAGACCCATTTTTTTCAACAAGTAGACACAGATGCTAATGCCATTTACCAGTCACTTTCTAAAAAAATGGAAATGGAAATAACTAGCCATTCTCAAGGTGAAGTCAGTTTTGGCACTCAGCATTCACATGTTAAGTGGCTGGTGTATTTACTCCGATGATGATGATGATGCAAGACTAAAATCTGCTATTAGGCTGAGTCTGAAAACAGACTATGGGGCATTTCACTGGCAGTGTAAATATTATGCAGGTTCACTAAATTCTAGGAATGTAATATAAAATGGGGAGGAGGGTAAAGTAATGGGTTTAATATGCTAATCTTAAACTATGAGGGATCAGGCTTTAAATGTGATATATTATAAGTGAAACACGGTCGGTAGTTTTAGTCCCTAGTATGAATTTGTCATAATTACAAAACTACCTGTCAGACTGGTTCAGCTAGCAGAATTTGGATATTCACGAACAGAATTTGGATATTCAAGAATGGGTAAAGCTGAGTGGGATTAAGGTCCATGAGCAGAGCTGTGTGATAGAAGCTTCCATAGCATTTTTTCACGCTATACCTAGAACTAGGTTGTCCTGTCCATCTCTTTCTTTCATCAACACTAATATTCACATTATTTACATCCTCCTCCAACCCTTTCTCCTTCCCTCCTTCCTGTCCCCCCGAAACTTACCGCATTCTGACACACAGATGTCAGTGTATGAATTGAAGAGAATCTTATCCTTGGGGCAGAAGCATCCTTCAGCAACATGTTCACTTGTATGGTTAACAGTTCTACAAGGAAGAAAGGAATGGATATTAACGTACATTTTCCCAGCATTATCTGATCAATAACTTTTTACAGCACTAATATAATTGAGGCATGAAGAAGAATTTCTCTAAACAATCAGGTAAGGTTTCCTGAATATATATAAAAAATGTACATTTATACAATATGGTAATCCTTATCCCCAAATATTACAAAACACTTTGTAAACATTCAGAAACTATCTATGTACGGGAATCATTTTTACCCATCACTGAACTATAGGCAACTCTGAAGTGGAGCACTACATCGACCTAACAGCTCACAGCAATGCTGGGCATGTTTTTCTGTTTAGGAAATAGCAGGAAGTGAAAATACAGCATCCATTTGAAATTGTAGAGGGATTTAAGTAGCACAATGTAATTATCCAAAGAGGAAATTGGCTAGGCCCTAAATGCTGGCCTTCCTACTCATGTGAAAAGTGCCATGGGATTTTTAATAATCAAAGGAGTCAGGACTTCAGTTTCAATGCCACAAATAAAATATGGCATCTCTAGTAACAACACATTGTCCCCTGTCACCACTTTGAGGATTTACTCAGTCATCAATGCCACTCTGTCCTCAAGCAGTTGGTTTTTACTACGAGGTCTCCCGTCCAAAGACAGACACAGTTGAACACAGTGACATTACACTAATGTAAAGCTAATTATTTGGTTTAGCCTTACCCGGAATGACAGGCGACAGGATTAAGAGGGCCACATGCATCATACACCTTGCCGTTAGGACAGTTGTATGCTGTGTGGGAGCAAAAATAAAATCAATATGAAAATGAAACATTGTATAAAGGTAAAGAAGCAGAGATGATGCTTTCCAATTGCTTTTAATTTTATGTAGGTGGAGGGGTAACAACCACTGGTGCTCTCACTTCATCAACCCTTTGGACCAGGAAATAGAAAAGCAGAAATATTTTGTAACGGCTACTGAATGATTTTGAACCTCACAAAAGATGTGGCTTTGGTTGAATTTGAGAGAACAGCAAAGGTTCAGGGTTGTTTATATTTTATCGGAACTAGTTCACCCATCTCCACAGGAATGAAATTAAAGTAAAGTTTAGATACGTATCTATTCCTCCCCCCCAAAATAATGGAAGAAGTTTACATTTCCAGAATAAGTTTGTAATAAGCACGTCATAGATCCAAGGCAAAGTATCTCTTAATGCTGCTTACGGCATTGTCCTTGGGTCTTGCTTCTCCAGTCGGCACAGACACCTTTAGCAGAGCAGAGGGAGGCATATGTTTTCAAGCTGAAGCATGGTATAGATTCATTGGTAATGTGGCATGAATCAGCGATGCAACTCTCATAGAATATGCTGGGCGTCAGAATCTTATGACACTCTGCAAAGAGACTTTAAATATAATGGAAGAGAAGTTTGAGCTGTGCTGCATAATCACTATAAAAATCTAGACTTGTCAGAGTGAAATAATTAAAGGGTAATGAACTGCCTAGATGGTCTTTTAGGGCTAAAATACGATATTAGTCCCAGGTGAGTGTTTTATTGACAATGTAATAATAGCCCTTGGTGGGACACAGTTTATATTTAATGAGAATTCTTCAAGGGCAGACTGGGTTTCTAGATAGCGCAACTCTAAGGCTACGTCCTCACTACAGGGGGGGGGTCGATTTAAGATATGCAAATTCAGCTACGCGAATAGCGTAGCTGAATTCGACGTATCGCAGCCGACTTACCCCGCTGTAAGGACGGTGGCAAAATCGACCTCCGCGGCTTCCCGTCGACGGCGCTTACTCCCACCTCCGCTGGTGGAGTAAGAGCGTCGATTCGGGGATCGATTGTCACGTCCTGACAGGACGCGATAATTCGATCCCCGAGAGGTCGATTTCTACCCGCCGATTCAGGCGGGTAGTGTAGACCTAGCCTAAAAGAGACTAAAGTGATGCCCAGAGAACCAGCTTTGGTAACAGCCACAACAAACTACACAGCTATTCTGTATTCTTAAAAAACAAACCAAGACTACTTTGCTATTATTACAATCAGGGCCGGCTCCAGGCACCAGCCCACCAAGCGTGTGCTTGGGGCGGCGCCTAGAGGGGGGCGGCGCGTCAGGGCGCTCCGGCCCGAGAGCGGGGCCGCGACTGGGCTCGCCGCCCTCCCCCCGGTGCTCCGGCCGGTCGGGGAGAGCGGGGCCCCGGCCGGACTCGCCGCCCTCCCCCCGGCGCTCCAGCCGGTCGGGGAGAGTGGAGAGCCCCAACCGGGCTCTCCGCCCTGCTCCCGACGTTCTGGCCGCCGGGGGCTCTCCGCCCTCCCCCCGGCGCTCTGGCCGCCGGGGAGAGCGGAGAGCCGCGGCCGGGCCCGCCGCCCTCCTCCCGGCGCTCTGGCCGCCAGGGGCTCTCCGCCCTCCCTCCGGCACTCTGGCTGTCGGGGAGAGCGGAGAGCCCCAACTGGGCTCTCCGCCCTGCTCCCGGCGCTCTGGCCGGTCGGGGACTGCGGGCCCGCGGCCGGGCTCGGCGCCCTCCCCTGCCGCAATGGGGGGGGGGGGGGCGGCTGGTGGCTTTTTTGCCTAGGGCGGCAAAAAAGCCAGAGCCGGCCCTGATTACAATCAATAATGCAGTGTATATTTTTGTTACTAAATGTCACTTCAAAGACCATTATTAAGGCTTCCAAAAAACTTTTTTGCTTTTCAATACACAAGATTCAAATGTACCCTAAGCCTGAATTTAACTTACTCGCTCAAAATCAGCTCACAAAGAGGAGAAGTAGAATTGCAGGGCACAGGTGGAGTTGTTGGCGTGGCAGGTGGTACCGGGGGCCTTTCACAATTGGGCTTATTTTCATTCTGAACCTGCCAAGCGGCAGCCATTTCTGAACAAGAGGAAATTACTTCGCCACTTGGCATGCGGCATTCGTCCACTTTGTCATTTGAACATGTGCCTAGAAGAAAACAGATGGAACCAAGTCTGGAAGGTATTGAAGCACTGGCAATAGAGCACCTCAGCATGGCAAGGTAAGTACAAGAGGGAATGTCCACGCTAAATGTAACAAACACAGTCAGGGGCTGGTTACCTGATTTTCAGGTTACTACGATACCACTAATCTTACTTGGTCCTAACACTTTATGAAAGACTGAAAGTAGAAATATTCTTGTTAATGTAAATTGCATTTTGAGGTGATGCTGAGACTGGAAATAGTGAAAAAGTGATATGCTCCATAATCCCACTGTGGTTATTTTATTTAATTTGCTGTAGCACCTAGAAACTTAAATGATCAGCTAAAGTGCACCTTACCATAGCATAAATAAAGAAAAAAGTCTCCTGAGAATTGCCTTATGGAAAAGAGGGGATTAAACCACTCTACTCACCACACTGGCCTTCAGTGTTGTGTCCAAACATGCTGAATGGCATTTTCACTGTGAAGGTGAGTCCATTGAAGAAGATGTAAGACTTGATGTCCGGGATTTCAACAACCATGTATGTTCCATCATTGGCAACTGAAATGCCATCTCTGCTGAAGCCTCCACTGATTGGCTCGTTGTTGACAAGAATCTAAAACCCAACAAAATAAAAGCAGCTAAAGCACAGGTTTATTTTATGTCTTAGGCAGGGAGACAAGTCTTTGAACACATGATGGCAGTGTTAAGAGTTAAGAAAGAGCAGAGTTCCTCTCTGTAGATCTGAAGATCCCCATTATGTTCCTCATGAAAAAAAGAGGCATAAGAGAAAGAAATTACAAAATAAACTCTCTCTCACACACACGTGCGCGGTAAACACACACACACTATGGAGTTCTTATGAAATTAAATATAATTACCACATATCTAATGTTGTGTTTATAATCTTTAGCTGTTTTTATACGGTGTTATTAAACAAGCCTTCTCTTATTATTAAAATGTTTTTATTGAAGCAATTTATAAAATGTGAAAATCCATTAAGGTTTACCTTATTATTTTTCTCTCCTTGGTGTATCTGACTGATTAGCACTATTTCCATGGAGTTGTAATTCACAATGATAGATCTAGGGCAGGAGAGTCCATCAGCCACATCACAGAAGTAATTGTCCACAAGGATTCTGAAATTGTATTTGGGGACAATCTGTTTCATCAGCACATATGTGCAGTTGTCATGGAATGTGTAGTGAGTTCCATCAAAAGTCAAGTAGTCAGAATTACTCCAGCCGCTGCAAACACCTATCAGGAAGAAAAGAAAAGAAAAGTATCTATTTATAATCAAAAGCTAAAAATAGCAAATTTCCTTAATCTGCCAGTCAAAGAAAGATTGGTTGCTGGTACTGAAATTGAAGGTGATGTATCATATTTAAACTAAAATCTTTCTCTCTTGTATGACATCTGTAAAAATAAAGATTCTAGAAGCAGAATTTAGTTGGCGTTAAGTATTCATACCCATTTTTCTGTCTATATATCTAGCTTTATTTTAGCCGATGATCTGGATTATTAAATTCTTACTTAGCGTCAGATGCCACTACAATGGATGTATAATAAATACCAAGCTAGATAGAAAAATCTATAATTTAATGATATACTCTTGTAATTCAAATATTTTAGCCTGATTCTATCTTCTGAGAAAAATAGAGTGCCTAAAGCATTGACTCATCACAACAATATTATAAATTTGTAAACTATAATTTGGCGGGTAAAGCCTGCTATAGTACAACACTAGATGAATCAAAACATTCTGAAAACCTCTTTTTCTGCAATATTAAAGTATATTGTGCATCGTTAGTGCTTTGCTTGTTTCTTGGTTCCCTTACAGTCACACTCATAGTGGTAGTTGCAGCCATCCTCATCATAGACTTTTATTGGTGGGAGTCCACTTGCACAAGTAATCATCTCTACAGCTGGAGGAAGCAATAGAACAATTCTGTTGTCTCCCTCACAAGTTGCCATAGTGCAATTGTTTAACATCCAGGATTCATTCATCTAGAAGAGACAAGGAAATTCTTGTACAGATGGTTTGGGTTGAGGCAGAATTTAGATGTCTATCTTACAATAATATAATAATCAATCTTTGGGATTCAGGTTGTTTCAAGTAAGATTGTCTATGGGTGACCTAGCAAGAATGGAATTCAAAGAAAGTAGGTCATGTATCTGAAGAGGAAGCTGACTATGAGTGACTGCCCTTACATATCTGGGTTTAGAGCATAATGAATATTGAAAAAAGTTATTCATGGACATTTTGTTGACTTCCGTAATAGAATTTTGCTTCACCCAAAAAACAAACACACTTGGGTGAACAGGATAAAAGTTAAAAAAACAAACAAACAAACAAAAAACCCAGTATAAAAGTTCCGTCATCCAGTTAGGGAATGACAACTATGCTATATGACTTCAGTGATCAATCATACAGCTTGAATATCAAATACGCAAGGAACATTTAAAAGGAACACTTTGTAAACAATCTTTAGGATGAAATTTATTTGCATAAAATATTGAGAAATTCTGAATATTGAACAAATTTGTAAAAACTGCAAGTCAGTCTGTGGACAATTTGCAAACAGGAAAAGTTGACAGCACAAGTTCACAAAAAATTACATCTTGCCAGATTATTTTCAAATAGCCAAATCCTGCCCGGACATATACATGAGCAACTCCCAGTAAAATTAATGAAAGTTGGATGTGGGTCTATCTGATGGCAGAATTTGGGTCAATTTTGGGAATGGTGGTGTTGTAGAAAAAGAAAATAGATAATTGGATTACCTTTCTTGGCGGGTCAGCATCAGGGCAACCTGATATTGGAGTAGTTTCTGGAGTTACTGGCACTGAAGAAGATATAGCTGTTGGGGTTGATAAGCTTGGTATTGTAGATGACGGGATTACTGAAACAGGAGTTGTTGTAGGACATGGCCCCTGGAGTCGTTCAATTTCGCATCTTTTACTGCAAAGTGCATAAAAACTACAACCAGTGCTATCTGTTCTGTTGTATATAACTTCGCCTATGAAACAAAATTAATAATACAAATGAAATAAAATGGCTGAGTAAAATGTTCATCAAAAAATCAAACAAATAATATTAAAATGTTTTAACTTGTATGCATTCATCATATTTTTATATAAAGAAAACATTCTCACTTTTAAGTTACACTGTACAGTAAAATATAATTTTAAAAAGGTGAATGCTAATATTGTATCTCAGTTTTTAAAAGCATGAAACAATAAACTCACCGGGAGAAAAGAAATCACCAGACACGTGGCATAAACACGGTGTTACACTGCTTGAAGTGAAAGATGTACTTTTTTCACGTGCTTTGTAGGCTGTACTGGGGCCTTCTGTTGTTGCAGATACTGAAGAAGTAAGCCTTGAAATAGTAGATGTTGGAGGAGTTCTAATGCTTAAAGTTGGGGAGACCGCAACAGTAGTGGAAACTGGAGATAAAAGTGTGGTGGTGCTTCCCTGTGATGTTGGCTGTGCTGGACTTGTGGAAAAAAGCATAGTACTTCCAGTGATGGTAGAACCCTTACCCGTGGAGGCTGAACCTGTTCTCATTTCTCCACGTGTGCCTGTAACAGGTGGGATTGTGCCTGTTTGCAGTGATGCTGTACCAGCTGAGCCTGTTGGTATACTTGGAGTTGGAGGAGAAGCAGTGGAGGAGACTGATACGGTAGTGGAAACTGGGGGTACAAGCGTGGTGGTGCTTCCCTGTGGTGTGGGCTGCGTAGAGAGTAGTGTGGTGCCTTCAGTGGTTGTTCGTCCCGAAGGAGGAAGGGTGGAACCTGGTGAAGGTTGTGGACGTGTGCCTGTCACAGGTGGGATTGTGCCTGTTTGCAGTGGTACTGTAGGAGCTAAGCCTGTTGCTTTGCCTGGAGTTGGAGGAGAAGCAGTGGAGGAGACTGATACGGTAGTGGAAATTGGAGGTACAAGCGTGGTGGTGCTTGCCTGTGATGTTGGCTGTGTAGAGAGTAGTGTGGTGCCTTGAGTGGTTGTTTGTCCCGAAGAAGGAAGAGTGGAGCCTGGTGAAGGTTGTGGACGCGTGCCTGTCGGAGGTGGGATTGTGCCTGTTTGCAGTGGTGCTGTACCAGCTGAGCCTGTTGCTGTGCCTGGAGTTGGAGGAGACGCAGTGGAGGTGATTGATACTGTAGTGGAAACTGGGGGTAGAAGAGTGGTGGTGCTTCCCTGTGATGTTGGCTGCGTAGACAGTAGTGTGGTGCCTTCAGTGGTTGTTTGTCCCGAAGGAGGAAGAGTGGAACCTGGTGAAGGTT